TCTGTCAAAATCATCAAAATTGGAGCTAAAATAACAGTTAAATTGTGATTTTTCGTTTATAACTGTCGAAAACTTTTGTTCTGTTATCTAATATCTGAATGTTTGTTATTAGTGATTTTTTACGTATGCGATCTCGGAGTGTGTACAAACAAGTTTGATGGTTAGATCATTGAAAAAAGTTTTGTAGAATGTGTATCACGTCAAAATGGTAGATTAAATAAACACTTAAATAGTTAATGTTATACTTCCATTAAGTATAAAATAAGATTTTGTGGTATCCACTAGTATAAATATTTTAAAATGAAGATTAAATTTATTCATTACATTCTTATAGGGTCGAGGAGTGTAGCTGTAAAAAATCATTAAAATCAGAACTAAAATAACCGTTAAATTGTGATTTTTTGTTTAGAACCGTCGAAAACTTTTGTTCCGTTACATAATCTTTGAATGTTTATTTTTTATGATTTTTTACGTATGCTATCTCGAAGTGTGTACAAATAAGTTTGACGATTGGATCGTTGAAAAAAGTTTCGTAGAATGCATATCGCGTCAAAACGGTAGATTAAACAAACACTTAGAGTTAATATTATACTTCCATTAAGTATAAAATAAGATTTTGTGATATCCATTAGTGTAAATATTTTAAATTGAAGATCAAATTCGTTCATTGCATTCTTATAGGATCGAGGAGTGTAGCTGTAAAAAAATCATCAAAACCGAAGCTAAAATAACCGTTAAATTGAGATTTTTCGTTTATAACCGTAAAAAAACTTTTGTTATGTTACCTAATCTCTGATTTTTTTTTTTTTTTTTTGCGATTTTTTACGTATACGATCTTGTAGTAGTATCTACAAACAAGTTTGACGGTTAGATTATGGAAACTAGTTTCATAAAATGCATATCTCCGTTCAATTTATTTTATTTTTTTAAATCGTAACAAAATTTTGGGGGGGAATTTAAAATTTTGGGAGGGAATTTAGGGGGGATTTTTGCCGCCATTTTTTTCTATCGGTTATAACTGACAGTAATGAAAATTTTCCAAAATAAAACCCCTCCATCTCTTCCTTGCACCGGTGCCTTCTCCCTTCCCCCTTCCTTCTCCCTTTTCTCCTCTCCTAATTTCATTCTCCTTCTCTTCTCCCCTTCTCCTTCTCGCTTCAATCACCATGGATGAACAATTCGAGAAGCAACATTTTGAAACCAGTACGTTTTAAATTATTTGTATTATGTTTAGTTTGTGTTTTAAATAGAAATTATAAACTTCTTAACTTTCTTAAATAGAAATATCAAAGCATGAGAAAATCTAGCATACAAAGGAAGTTGCTGTATGAACCCAAATACATACATAGGAAAAAATGCAACAACATAAAGGAGAGACGTTGTCAATTCCTCATCGAGATGAATCAAGAGCACAACTGTAGCAGTGAACGAGAGCATGGTCGTCCCTAGCGAGAAGAAAAGAAAGGCAAATCCTAAATGTAGCCTGAGCGGAAGAGATTGATGGAAGTTTTTGTACTCAAACTGAGATGTCAAGATCGAGAGAAATGTGACGAGAAAAGACAATGAGCTGATCAACGAGACAAGGTTGATGATGATAAAGGTGGTGAAGAAAGGAGAGTGTCGGAGAACATGAGAACCGCCTGAACTGTAACCCCCGGGAGTAGTGTAGGCGGTTGCATAACTTGCCCAAATTTTCGGTTTGTCTTTTCTTTTCTTTTTCAAATATATTTATCTGTCTTTCTAATCCTTTTCTTGTTGTTGGGGGTCAAACTTCTGTCTATATATATATTTAGGTTAGCTGCGAAATAGGAAACAAACTTGAAGAATTGAAGAATATGGTGTACCTTAGAGGAACGTTGCACATCTCAAAGCTGGAAAATGCAGTGAATGCAGGGAAGGCCAACTTGAAAGGGAAAGAAATGATTCAGAAAGTGGTTTATATTTCTTTTTATTAATATATTTTCTATCGGTTTTATCCGACAGAGAATGCTCTTATTTATTCAGTATTAATGTATTCTCTGTCGGTTATATTCGACACAATTTCTGTCTGTTTTAGAGTATTTTCTGTTAGAAAATTCATTTCCTAACCCTAGCAATTTTGTCACTTATTATAACCGCCACTGCATCCATTTTTTGTCGGATTTTGCTTAATATATGACAGTAATATACGTTTCTTGTCGGTTATCATAGCGACACTAGTAAATGGTTTCGTAGTAGTGTATTAGTTTGTGGAAATACAAGATAAAAAAAATACAAATAACATGAATTAGTTTGTGGAAATACAAGATCGACAAAGGGACTAGTTGGCTTCGTCATGGTAGTCCACCTTTTTGGGAGCCAGGAAAACTCATAGAGGAATTTTAGTCTCCCTTTTACCACCATCGTATGATTCACCAGCGCTAGAAATCGAACTCAAGACGTACCGTGCAGAATACGAGCCTGGAATTCGTACCCAACCACTGAGCCACCCTGTGGTGGTTATATGATGTAGGCCCTACAATAAGTATGGTCCCTATATTAAATATGGATGTTGGTGGCTTCTCACCTACCAAAGCCATACTTTGATCTATTTTAATTAAGTTGCATTCTAACCAGTGTTCAAAAACGCGGCCTAAGCGGCTGCCTACGCACTAGGCGTTGGGCTTTCGAGGCGATTTGGAGCGAAATGTTAGAGAAATTCGGTGATGGCTTAGGCGGGCGCCTAGGCAGCCGCTAGGCGGTCTAGGCGGTGCTAGGCGGCCCACTAGGCGGTTGCCATACCTTCATCAGCATCGATGGTCTCGAAGAGGAAGGAGATCCACCTATTTTCTTTGAGCCTTAAACAAAAATTTAAGACACAACCCTAACTTTATTAAAATAATTAAACAAACAACGAAGAAGGTAGTGGAATTTGGAGCCAACCTTGGCCTTTCTTTTGGCTTTCTTTGGGTTCTTGATGCATTTGACCATTTATGGTTCTTCGGATTTTGCATAAACGACTGACGAAGGTAAGAGGTGAAATGAATGCAAAAGTAAATATTTTGGTGGGGCTAGGCCTTTTATGATTATAATATGCCATGTTTTTTGGGCCCAAAATAATATATGTTTATATTAATGTGTTTTTAAACTCTAAACTTGTTGAATACTTGTAATTTATGTATTCTTTTAATTTTATTTTTCAATTTACTATTATTTTGTTCTCAATACAAGTATATACATTAGTCTCTAATCTATCAAGGATTCTTCTAGTATTAGTTTAAAATAAAAGGTAACCAGTGATTGATAAACATGTTTTGGTATGCTTGCATATGCTGTCAAAAGCATCACAGTTTTGGAAATGAAGGGTAACATTGATTCATTTTCCCCATGGCAAGTCTAATATAAACCTAAATGATAATAGGACCTTGTCCCAACTAATCATGCTTCTCGATCCATTTACAACGCTGGGACATATTTTTATTTTGAATCACATGTTGTTATATATTTCCTAATTATCTCAATCCATGTTTTTTTTCTGTCCTCATACTGTAATACTCTCAATGCTGATTAGCCAGTATTTGAACAGGTAAAGCCATTAACCTTCGTTGAGGCGTCCAAACCCCCGAAGCCTGTTTTATTTCATTTTTTTCCACTTTGCGAGTGAATACCATCACTCCCAACCAAGATGCCAGCACAGTCCCCTACGTTAACAAGAGTCATCGAAAGGAGGTAGTTCAACATGTTAAATGGAAGCAAAGAGAAAGTCGAAGTAGCAGAACTGTCTGTTGGACAAACACCAAAAGAAGGAAACGAAAGATCAAGATTTCCATGGAGAATAATGAAAACCATAGAAGCAAGAATGATAATTATAAGATTTGAAGAATGTGGAGGTGTATGTAGAAAATGTAAGGTGTATGTTGAGAATGTGGGGTGTGAGGGTGTTATGGGAAGTATGTGGGGTTTATTAAGATAAGTTTTAATTAAAAAAACAAATGTGAGGAGCATTAAGTATGTGAAGTTTATTCAACAAAATGTGGGGTGTTAACATAATAAGCCTATATTTAATTAGATAAACTTAATTTTCAATAATTATAGCATAAACATAATTTATTTAAACAAGGACAATTTAGTAATCAAGTTAGTTTTAATTCCGATTTTAGTGAACTAGTAAACAATATATATGGAACTAATATCATTTGTATTCCGATTACAATTAGTTTAGTAAACAACTTTGACCAGAATCTAATTTTGTTTCATTCTCAATCCAATTCCTCCTTAATTTGATTTCTCCTCAATTCAATTTCCTTCAATCTGATTATGGATTTGTAAACTCACCCCTAAAGTGTTTGGCTGCTAGAATAATAGATTTGTTGTTATTTGGTTAGAGAGTTGAGAATGACAGCTGTCGTAATTTTATTGGGCCACAAACTCTAGTGAGTAAAAGTATATATACTAAAACTGGGTTTCGGATGGCACTGTTCATTAATAGTGCCGGGACGGAAATGCCCCTTGCTTGGTTTGTGTTTTGACGTTGTTCTCCCTCTTTTCTCCATTGAAATGTCGGCTTTGCCCATGATTGGTGGGTGTTTTTCGACTGGCCGAATTGCCCTTCGGGGTTTTAATGGGTTCTCTTCGAGGGTTGGTGCAGGGAGAAAGTGGGAATTGCATCTGCTACGTGTTGATCATCGTCCATGGTTGGTGGGTGTTTTTTGACTGCCCGAATTGCCCTTTGGGTTTATAATGGGTTCTCATTGTTTTCGAGGGATTGATGCAGGGAGAAGGTGGGGATTGGATCTGCCACGTGTTGATCATCCTGTTATGCTCTTTTTGCTCTATTTTGTTTCGTTTTTGTTTCCCGTTTCTTATTTTTTTTGTTGCGTCGCTGTCTTTCGCTCCCGCCTTCTCTTTTGCTTTCTTCTTGCCTGTTTGCTTTGGTTTCGCGCGCGTTTGTGTTTGCTTCTTCTCGATCGTCCTCTCCTCTGCTCTGTGCCTCTTTGCTACGTCGGAGAACCCTGCGGTGCGTGATTTTTTTTTAGATTTTTATGTTCGTTTTCATATTTTTATGTTAGTTTGGAAAATGAGTTTTCTTCTGTTGCGTTTAAATATGTATGGGCTTCGTTCGTTTTTTGGGTTTATCGTTTAATTTTGGTGATGTTGTCCTTTTGAATCATGCGTTCAAATAGATTTTAGGGTTTTAGAATGCTGCAGCAGTCGACGCCTGTGTAGAAAGATGTCTGGTTATGTGATTTGCTGAAGCAGAGGTTGGGAAAAGAGAGAGGGGGTATAAGAAGTGTGGTTAGGCATGAGTGGTGGAGGTAGAGAGTTTGCGTTTTGCTGTTTGGTGGGTTTTCCTTTTGGCCATCTCATTGTTTTGATCCGTTAGTTATTTAAGCAAATTGTTATGGGTGTGTTGTTTTTTAGAGTCTCCCTTTCTTCGTATGAGGGTGATGCCATTGATTGATGATTAGTCACACTATTAATTGCACTGACAATTTAGTCTTAGTTATGGATTTGCAGTGGATAGAGTTCATTTTGCGAAGTACAAAATTGCATTCACACTTTAGTCTTGGTGTAAAGCAATAATTGGCGTATTGATTTCAACTCATCGTTCTCAAGTATTCTTAATCTCGCAGGATGAAGGTATAGTAGGAATATTTAGTACATTATAGAATGTAACTCTTTATTCGTATAATCTTACTCATTGACTCAGTCAGAATTCAGTTTATCCTTCAGTAAGGTGTATAAAAAATGGTATACTTATTCTACGATTAGCGAAAATAGCCGATTGCCATTTCTTAGATGTTCAGGAGATGTGTGCAACATTAGTGCTGTAACTTTTTCCATGTTTACCATTTTTTCTTCAATCCAAAACACGAAAGCTGAGGATTGCCATTATATAGATTTGTGGTCAAATGAAAGAGGTTGGATTTGTACATGTGATTCATGGTGAAATGAAAGAGGATAGAATGATTTTTCATTTCGTTGGTGGAGAACGAAAGCAAAAAATTATATTATGAGGTAGTTGGTTTGGGGATGTGGTTGTTTTAGTGTGACACTAAATCTTTCATCGTGGGATTTGTTTCTTTGAAGCCTTTGGGTTCAGCCTTGATTTGCAGAGGATGACATAAATTTGTATCTTTTTTTAGATGGAGGTTTGTTTTGTGTTATGTGACTGGATTCGTGGTGGTTCATGAATGTGTTAGGCTTGGTGTTTCTGTACTTGAGTTTTTGTGCGGTCTTAGTGTCGGCTATTTTGTTGTTGTCATTTCTTTTTCGTGTGGTCATTAACTTTGTGATTTCTTTGTTGTAGTTGTTGCTATTAGTGGTGGTGGCTGAGGTGTTTGTTTCTTGGTGTTAAAACTTGGGTATCCCGTTCTTTTCGTCAATATTATTTGTTCTTTGGAGGTGTCATTCACGGGATTTGCAGTCTGGGTCTCTGTTTTGCGTCCTTAGTTTTATTGGACAATATAAAATTTGTGCAATTGTTGTATAGGCATGCAAGACAGGGTGGAAAAGATAGCGAAAGTACAAATGGTTGTTAAACTCTCCATGTCTTCCTTTCAGACCATGGGTGAATGAATTGTGGATCGTTTATAGTTTTTGTCTTTTTTTCTTTTTGTAGTTTTGTGGGAGTTTCTGATGTGTCATTGAAATTCCCTTTTGATAGGATAAATGGAAACTGTGCGCCCAACTCCTGTTAATCAGTTAATACCATACATAAAGGCGGACAAAATCAAAATTCGCATATGCAGGATTTGGAAATTGACGATTCCAGGAACCGTTCAAAAGTCTACAAACCTGCACTGCATATTGGTTGATGAAGCGGTGAGAAATAATTGTCTAATTATTTTACCCAAAGTTGGAGTCAATGAGTATTAACTCACTGGATAATGTTTATATTAACTCACTGGATAATGTTTATGTTGCCATGCTTTTTTACATGTTAGAAGGTTAGAGTTCGATATGTTGTCATCAGCGAAATGTGTGCATCACCTGTGTTTTCCCTCTGTTTGTTCCCTCAATTTTTGGCTTTCTTTCCTTATATTTGCCATGCGGTATGTTCTGTTGTAAACTTTTATGTGTTGATGGATTTTTTTTTTTTACATTTTGTTTGAAATAATTTAACTGCGTTCATTCGTTCTATTTGCTCATGGTAACAATTTGATTCATGTCATGTTGTTTGTGTTGTCGAGTGTATGATTTGTGTTTTCATTTATTTGTTAATTGATTTTTTGGCTTTTTTTCCTCTTTTTTAATACGATGTGAAGCAACATGCGGTTGAGGCCTCTACATTGGATGTTGATTATGATGTCATGGCTTAAAAAATTGAAGATGGTGCATGCTATGAAATCACCGAATTTCAAACTATTAGAATTAGGGCACAATACAAGGTGGTGCTGCATGAAACTCAGGTTTTGTTCACCTCGAAAACAGCTTTCCGAAAATTAGCAAGTGTGTTTCCGCCCATCCCTCGCCATCGATTTTTCCTACAAGACTATAACACACTCTACCCTCGCTTAAACAGAGTTGACATCCTCACAGGTACTATTAATGTCTATGTGCATGTGCGTGTCTTAAAGTGTGTGTTTACTTCCTAAAATGGATTTTAATAATGTGCATCTGTTTGTTTTTTCAAATGGTAAGATGTCATTGGTCATATAAGCGTTGTGCAGCGGCTGGAACCTAAACAAATTAATCAAAGGGTTATGTACAAGTGTGATGTGGTTATCCAAAATATTAGGTTATTTTTCACTTCTTATCCCTATTCTTACATACTGTTTTCAATATTTGTTGCTTTGGTGGTATAAAAAGGTCAAAAATTTATTTGTCGTTTCTTTATCGACAGAAAAGAGGAACTAATGGTTATGTTGTGGGCAGACGTTGCTGAAGCTTTTTCTTCTTTGTCAGCAGAGGAATTTTCTTTGTCAGTCATTGTTGTTTTCACAAGTCTGAAAGTCAAGATCTACCTCGGTATTCCATTTTGTTAAATACTTACTTTTAGTCTGTTTATTGTGATGTGTACACATGTTGTTTCTTTACATTATTTGGATGTTTTGTTGTCCTAAACTTTTGTTATCTTTCTTTCGTCCAATTTCTGATTATATGTTTCTTTCCTTCTTGGCCAGTTAATTTACAAATGTCTCAATCTATCACTGGTTGGTCACTGTTATTAGTCGTTTTCTTACTTTATTTCTGTTTGTTTCGTCTCTTTTGTATTCCCTTTTGTTTTTTTAACTTTGTTAATGTCATTAATATTGTTCATTAATCTTTTTCTCTGTGGTGTGGTTGCAACGCACAAAAAAAATTTATTTGAGTAGTACTGGTTCGTCTGTGTTTTTTATTGACCTAGACATCCCCGAAGTGAATACGTATAAGTCAGTGTGAGTAAATTTTTCGTTTTTAAAACAAAATAACACTTTTTTTAATTGGAAAACAATTGTTATCATTTTTTTTTTTATAATTGTTAAACTGATAAAGTGTTTTGAATCCTGCAGGTTTTGTGATTGTAAAGAAGCTCTGGACATACTTTCTCCCTCTGCAATCCAACGAAACGAAGCTCAAATTTTGCAGACTGCTAAAAAAGCTACAATTGATGAATTGGCTTTTTTGGATCCAGATTTGCATAAGGTATAAAACATAACGTTTATTTTTTGTGTATTCTTAAAATCTTACCATTGCATTTTAACCTTTTTAATGAAACTGAGTTCTGTTGTTCTTGCTGTTACGGCTATGTGACAAAATATATCACAGGATGATACATTTGTGTGTAGAGCATCTGTCAAGCGTTTTGACATGCGGTTCAACTAGTGGTACAGTGCTTGCCCGAACTGCTTGAAACAGGTGCACAAGGATCCAACCATTGGGCAGCTCATTTGTCAAAAACATCCAAACCAAATACCAACGCTGTGGTAATGTTAAATCAAATATTTGAAGCAAGGCTAACAAAAAGTTTACTCTTTCTTGATACCCTGTTGTTTGTTCTCATTAACCAATTGAGAAAAATAAATATAGATAGGGTTATTCACATTGTGTGCAAAATTTACAATTTTGGTATAATTATTTATGTCATCACACTTATTTTTTTTTTAAATTCCAGATTATGAAAGCATTTTTATAATAGATATACACAATGGTTGCCAAACATGGTGTTCCTTAAAAAAAAATTTGTTACCATTGTTCACTCTTTACTTTATGTTTTTGTTCAACTTCAGTTGTATAAACCTAAATGTTATTATTTTTTTTCTATTCTGACAAATAATTTATCTTTGTTTCCTTTTCTTTTTTATGTTTTCTCATATTTGGTCACACATGATCACCATATGATTATATAATATTACTCCACATTTGCAATCTATTTTGTTTCAGCTTTTTTACCTCTTATGTTTGTGAAAACCTCTGATTCTCAAAAATCTCATTGGTTTGAGTTTCTAAATGTAGGTACAAAGTCAATCTCATTCTTGAAGATGAAACAAATGAAATGAATGCTTTGATAATCGGTAAATGTGGTGAAAAGCTTTTTGGCATGCCTTGCAAAGACCTGGTATTAAATCAAAGACTGGTAGAGCAACAACAGTTGCCAAACGAATTTCTCAGGCTTATTGGATAGAAGAAAATTTTTCACTTGCGATTTGGCAACAGGAGGAATACTTTTTATTCAAATGATATCCTCATTCATAACGTGACTGAAGACACAGTTATGCAGCCAGCAACTCCACAACCTTTGTCAAGAGAAATCATAGTGTCTTCCACCATTGCTTCATCTTCGACCTCAACAGTTTAACCCAATGAGCAGTCGTTTAAACGAAAAAGGGAATCAATCAGGCAAGCTCTTTTCACTGGCGGTGAACAAAGGTTTGTCCCATACCTTTGTAACTATAAATTTCAAATTTGTGTGTAGTCATGTTGTTTAACATTGATACCTCATTTAAAACAGTGGAGTAGAGGAAATTTCAGACACGGATCCAAGAGAGTTGGATGAAGTCCTGATCAAATTGCTAAAAAAGAACCCATCCTCAACTGCTGGAAAATTAGATGCTACCCCTCCAAAAAAAAGCTAGGTTGTTATATTTTACCTTTGCTTTTTTTTTTTTTGCTAAATTTTTTTTACAACTTGGATTTAACAGCCGTCTAACTCTCTTAATTTCTTTTTTTTTTCCCTAGGTTGGTTTCTTGAAAGGGAACAATGCAGCAACATAAGTTGACCTCCATTGATAAAAAATCATGATGGTTTTTTGTTAACATGTATAAAACAATATTTATGCTATTTCCCTGTCATGTAAATATGTTTCTGATCTGAACTTCAAAACATTTTTTGCCTGTACATAAACCAGCATTTGCCAGTGTTTTGTATCCCAATGCTGGCTGTGGTTGAAAAGCAGTTCCAGGTACTAAGATCCAGCATATGCCTGGAATATTTTTTGTGTATGTAAACAACCAACTGGTAACCTTTTTTTATCTATATCGTACAAATTAAAGATTTCATTTGTAAGCCTATTGCAACCTGTGTGTTTTCAATGGTGTTTACATTTTGTGATGTTATTTTTACATCTTCTGGACATGGTGGTCAGTATACTTTGAGTTGAGACCTACAATGTTTTTCAATTGGCATACAACCAAGTTCTGGTAAACCTTTTTTCTCCATATGGCCCATTTCTTTATTTATTCTTTTTCTTATTTGAGTGTTTGATATATAGGTAAAGTTTATGTTTAAATTTTCTTTTTATGACTGCAGATTTTGTCTCCACAATCAGATGCTAGATGTCACTGTCTCATCTCATTCTTCTTCGCTTTTAGGAACTGCCAATGCTTCAATTTCGTCTTTTGTTCAAGGTATATAATCTATTGAAACATTTAGTTTTTAATATATTAACCATTGTGCAATATCCATATTCTGTTAGTTTTCTTACTCCCTGCCTTCTTCTTCCTATTTTTTGGCTTTTCATCCATTTCTATTTGACTTTTATCCAACCCATAATCCTCACTTTCTAATCTTTTATTCCATATGTTTGATTACCCAATGTATACTCAACCGGTTTAATCTTTAAATTGTTTACTGTTAACTCCAACATTTTTATTTCCATTCTGTAATCATTTGATTTTTACTTTTGGCTTCCAATCTGCATTCTCATTAACTTTTTTTAACAACTTTGTCTTAAGTACTTGGGATCCCTTTGGAGACATTAAATGCTAATTTTTCTCAAGTGAATGCATAAGGATCAGAGTTAATTACTACTGAAACATATAGAACCTTTAACTATACCATAAGTATCATATTGGACAGTAAATAACCATAAAAGTAGCTTCGTTCTGGTCTATAATCATATCCAACATATCTCCATCATTTTTTTTCAACTTTAAAATTCAAATTTAGGATCAAAATTTGCTTTAGTCCTTTATGTTTCAGCCTCAACCAGTAACGGTTTAAATTTTGTATTCATCAATGCTATTAACTTTCTCAACATGTCATTATCAAATCCCCAATATGTCCTCCATCGCTTTCATTGAGTTACTATATGCAAACAAATTTACACTAATTTTTATTCATTGTGAACAGTATTTTCATCTCTCTATATCCAATCTTTCCTCCAAAATGTTTACAGACCGAATCTGTTTTGGTTTCCTACAGTGAAGTTGAGATTGATACGAAAGAAGTACGTGTGATCGCTGCTGTCAAGGTACGGAATTGATTAACCTCGACTTTTAATTGCTTTTCCACTTATTAATTTCCGTTTCCATGTGGATTCGAAGTTCTTTTCCTTTGCAATTCTTTGTCTTCATTTTTCTTACACTTAGTGACTGAGGTTTCCATTGATTACATCCCACTCCTTCTCATCTGTTCCAAAACTGACTCTTCAATATGCAACCAAAATTTTAACTCAATTTCTCCTGCGGATTAATTTCTTTTTCAGCAATGCAATTTTTTTACATTTTGTAATTCATTAAGTTCACAATTCCTTTCAACTCTCTACATGTTGAGACCAGCCTCTGTCTTTTCCTTTTCGTTATGCACTTCACAAGTTACAATCTTTTCAACGGAATATTTTCAGTGAATTCCAAACATTGGTCTTCGTGGTTCTCATCATTGCATTGTAAAAAGTTGTCATTTGGTATAGATGATCTTGGTTTAGCAAATTGATAGCGAGATGGAACACTCCTAACTGCATTGCAACTCCTAACTACGTTGTAAATTCTACTCACTCATCCTATAAGAGTTGCTTCATAATTGTAATATTCAAAACCAGATAGCTTTTTCAGTTATGGTTCGATTATTATTTTCCTTTTCAATTGTTATTCTTCATTTTTGATTTGGTTGCTGTTTGTGATTTCCATTCAATATGATCCATACTCTCAGTTTTCTTTTGAGAATTCCTCTCTTTGCCTTTTCCCAATGTTAATATTTTTCTCCATGATAGAAATTTTAGGGTCTATGTTAATATATATATTAATTTTGATCCTACAAGTTCAAGGCATTGATGATGGAATTAAATTCAATGCTGCTCATTGTTCCTTTTGTAGATAAGGTTGTACAGGAGCAAGGCGTAGCACCGCAGCATCGCGCGGGCAGTCTTGCTAGTTGGTACTAAATTGTGGGTACTCAAGTATTGTTTATTTTATTTTTTCATTTCTTTTAAGACCCCTACTGGATTTATCTTAAACTCTCACATTATATATAAATGTTGTATTACTTTTTAAAAAGTAATGTAAATATTGTTTAATGCTTATTTTACGATAAAAGAAATTCATTTAAATCCCACTAGGCTCCTGCCTAGATCTCTCTTAGACGCCTAGCTACTAGGTTCCAGTCTACTACTTGACTAGCGTCTTTTTTAAGAATATAAACCTAGCTAATATAAGTTTATTATATTGGCTTTGATATTACCGCTTACAATCGTTTTGGTGGAGACTATTTTCTGCTATGAATATTGACTCAAAACTTTGCACTCTCAAATATAAAAACAACCACTTCGATTGAATCTTGCACTCTTTTGAATTTCACCTCTCTTCTCGGCAAATTCTAGCTTCACCACTGCATACACTTATTGTATAATTAACATATAGACCACATACGTACTGTACATTTAACATGGGGACTTATTGTATCGTCTATTTAACATATGGACCACATTACGTACTCTACATTTAACATGGGGACCATATACTCAGTGTAGTGTCTACATCATTATGAATCACGCGTATCAGTTTGTTCCACAATAGACAGACAAGGGTCAATCAGTCCACATCATTATGAATCACGCGTATTATTTGTTCCACTATAGACATGGGCTAATGAGTCTAGTGCTGTACTATCATAAGCTCTGTATTTGATAGAATCCTCAGCTTCAAGTTTCTGCGGCTCTTCGGAACGTTGGTTGGACTTAAAACTGAGAGACTATGGCCAATGAGACCATGCACGCGGTTCAGTACGACAACCATGGCGGGGGAACTTCTGGTTTAAAGGTTGTTTATAGACTTGTAACTCTTATTTCATAAACATAAACTCACCAGTTTGTTAATTTTATTTTTCGGGAGTTCAGTATACCCGCACACTTCTTAACCTCTAAATAAAACCATAAATTTAATGAGTTGCAAGTGAGAGAAATAGTTGACCCATTACTGCAATCATTTTACAAAATTGCAAGGATTCTCCAATCATGTCAATATCGATGATTTACTCCTTGTTTTGCACCTTCAATGAGTTTCAAAATGTTGTACATTTATATATCATTAATGTACCCATTTAGAATTTGTTGATTCACTAATTTACTTATATGGTATATGTAGACATCGAAATTTCAGTAAAATAAATGTTGACCAACAATTACAATTTCAACGTTCATGGGTCACATAAATTTTACATGTAGCGTGTGACTAAACGGAAAATCAAAATAAATAAGAAAAGTCATCAAATAAGGACATGTGTCAACACTTGGCAGAAACGATTTACTTCATCTGAATATTATATTCAAATTAGGCCTTGAAAAATTCTATAAATACAAGGTCATTTTATTCGTTTTAGGACACTAATTCATAATGAATTCACATCACACCAAAACCTTTGAAGCTTTGAAACTCTAAAGCTCTCAAGTAAATCCCGAAAGATCAAGAAAGTTCTCTTCGTTCTTCGTCAAATCCTCCTTCAAGATCAAGCCCTGACGATCCTTGAAGAACTTTCACCAATTCAAGATCAAGCCCCGACGGCCCTTGAGGAAAGTGTTCATTGTTCATCATCCGTTCATCCTAAGATCACTTTGGATCAACAACATCAACAAATCCACACATCCAACCGTTCTTCAAGATCAAGCCCAAAAGCCCTTGAAGATCCATTCATCAACCGTTCATTCAAGATCAAGCCAAAAAACCCTTGAAGATCCGTTCATCAACAGTTCTTCAAGATCAAGCCCAAAAGCCTTGAAGATCTGTTCATCCATCAACCTTTAAGATCAAGCCCAAAGCCCTTTGAAGAAATTTCCAACCGTTCATCCAAGATCAAGCCTCGACGAACCTTGGATTAATTGCACATCCACAAATCAACACCTCACGGAGATCGAATCAGAGGATCAAATTTGAGAGAGATTGTAACCCCAAAATCATTAATAAAAAATATTATTTTGTACACATGTTCTTGTCTCATTTGTTTCAGGAATTTTCGTGTTTGCATAAGATCAAGTCCTAACGGCATTTTGGATCAACAACATCAACAAATCCACACATCCAACTGTTCTTCCATGGTCTCATTTGTTTCAGGAATTTCCGTGTTTACAAATTTGGCACGCCCATTGGGACAATCTCTACCTCTCATCTCTTTCTCCGTTCAAGGAAATCAAAGCACACATTCGAAAATCAAATGGCATCAAGGAAGTTTCAAATGGTTCCCGCAACCAACACGAAAAACAAGAGCGTCATCGCCGCAAGTGGTGTCATTTCGGGCATCATAACTCGAAGCAAGGCAAGAGCTTTTTCTACCGCTTCTTCCACCTCTGCATCAACTCTGCCAAAGGAACAAGAGCACCCGAGGCACGAACCTGTGATCACCCTGGCCTCACTAAGGGCGCTAAGGGATGAAAGCCCAAGGAAGTACTCTGATTCCATGTTTTCCAATGCTGACTCAAGCGGCAGTTTAGCCATCCAAGTCATGACCACTGGAGCTACTTCAATCGATGAACAGTTGGCTCAAATGAATGAAGCGATCGCAAGACTAACACGGACCGTGGAAGAAAAAGACTTGCAAATCACTGCACTTGTCAATCGCCTGGAGGCATAGGATGACGAGAAACCTGCCCCAAAGAAGGGAGGAGCCGGCGAAGAAGATGAGCCTCTGGTGGAGAAAGTCGATGTGAAGCCGGAGCCAGACCAAGCAGCGGCATTCATGAGATCTCTTTCTATCCAGCAGTTGCAAGAGATGATTACCAGCATCATCAATGCGCAGTACAAAGGAAGCTCACATGACTCTGTACTATACTCAAAGCCCTACTTCAAGAAAATTGACGCTTTGAAGATGCCGATGGGTTATCAGCCATTAAAGTTCATGCAGTTCGATGGAAAGGGAAACCCAAAGCAACATGTTGCCCATTTCATTGAAACTTGCAACAATGCTGGAACGGAGGGAGACTACCTCGTCAAGCAGTTCGTGCGCTCGCTGAAAGGCAACGCCTTTGACTGGTACACCGACCTCGAGCCTGAGTCTATCAACAGTTGGGATTAGCTAGAAAGGGAATTCCTTAACTGCTTATACAGCACTCGTCGCACCGTAAGCATGCTGGAGTTGACCAGTACGAAACAGTGGAAGGATGAACATGTCATCGACTACATCAATAGATGGTGTTCATTAAGTCTGGATTGCAAAGATCAGCTTTCTGAAACATCTGCCATTGAGATGTGTGTTCAAGGCATGCACTGGGGGTTACATTACATCCTCCAAGGTATAAAACCGAGAACATTTGAGGAACTGGCAACTCGATCTCACGACATGGAGCTAAGTATCGCCAATCATGGGAAGAATGAGCTGATCACCGACTTCGAGAAGGATAAAGTGTTATTCCCAAATGTAGATAGGACTGGAAAATAACCCTCCAAGGAAGCTTTTACTGTCAACACCGCACCTATCAAGACCTCCCCTGCGCCCATCAAGATCTCCTCCAAGACCAAAGCAAAAGAGATAAAGAGAGGTGAGCCTCTTCGCACCTAATACAAGTACAAAAACACCTTGAGGGAGTTAGAGCAAAAGACGTACCCTTTTCCTGACTCAAACATGGATGCAATGTTAGATGACTTACTGGAAAAGAAGGTGATCAAGTTACCGGAATGCAAGCGCCCTGAAGAGATGAATTCCGTAAACGATCCTAAGTACTGCAAGTACTATCGTATCGTGAGCCATTTTTTTGGTAAATGCTTCATCCTCAAAGAACTCATCATGAAGTTAGCACAACAAGGGCAAATCGAGCTCGATCTTAAAGACACGGCCGCAACACATACTACTACAATTACGTTTGGATCCTTTGATCCCGTGCCTCTCCAAGTGACACCTGACCATTCCCGTAAATGCTCAAGCTGCATGACATCTTCTGCACAACCATCACTGGGGGAAAGCGACCAAGATGCACATACTGATGACGAAAAAGAATGGACATTGGTGACCTACAAAAAGACAAGGAAACCAAAACCACAAGCCACAAGGCCAAAGGTGGAACAAGGGAGAAAGCACCGTTGTTGCAATAGTAGGAAGCCCAAAAGAAACGGAAAAGCTGCTAAGCCAACGTATGCTGGGGAACCTATGGAGCAAGAGCCATGTATTCCCGTCTCTTTGCACAAGTACTTCCCGGAGGACTTCTTCCAACAGTGCACTGCCGCTGCATGTCACATGGTCGAAGTAGAAATGGAATAACCTTTAAAAGGCAAAGCCATCGCTATCGAGGAAAAAAAGATAAACGAAGGCTTGAAGCTTCGGCCGCATGAATGTGCCACATGTTGTGCCACCTAAGACGCAATCAACTTCACAGATGAAGACTTACTGCTGGGATCAAAGCCTCACAACCGTCATTTCTTCGTCTCGGGGTACATAAGAGAGCACAAAGTCAACCGCATGCTTGTGGATGGTGGATCAACCATAAACATCATGCCAAAGTCAACAATGACCACAATCGGCATCAAGGTGGACGAACTATCCCTAAGCCGTCTACTAATCCAAGGTTTTAATCAAGGAGGTCAAAGAGCAATGGGCACGATCCGAGTGGAGATGACCATTGGCGAACTTAAGTCAAGCACGATATTCCACGTTATTGATGCAAGAACTTCTTATAGCTTGCTCTTAGAAAGGCCTTGGATCCACGTGAAGGGAGTAGTATTGTCCACCCTTCACCAATGCTTAAAATTTTACCGAGAAGGAGTGAAGGTGATCCAAGACGACACCAAGCCATTCACCGAAGCCGAATCATATTTTGGAGATGCCAAGTTATACATGGATGAAGACATGGTGCCTGAAGCTCTTTCAAAAGAGATAAAATCCACTGGCAAAGCAACACCTAAAAAGCAGGAGTGGCAAGCCATGCCCAAGAAGTAAGAAGGAGAAGTTATGTTTTCCGATACATCTCGATGTCGAGAAGAAAGAATGGTCAATCCCCGTTCGAAACTGGAGCAAGCAAATTCGATGCACAACGACACAAGGATAATTTAAAGTTGCTCAAGACGGATGCAGTTTTGCCTCTGACACAGCTACGCGATGCTA